TCACGGAAAGATCGCGTCTGTTTCTCTGAAGCGTGGCGGGAACCACCTGTCCCGGATTGGTGTTTCCCTTCATAGGACATAGAAAACCCTCCTCAGTGAGGTTAGCCCTTTTCAGTTCAGACTTTACAAACGGCTCCCCCGAAGCGACTAAACGCTTGTTTTCCCACACCGAGAGTAAACTGTGCTGAAGGCTCTGGGTTACTAGCCGAGGAATTACTGCAGAGTCACTATTGAGTCATCAAGATGTAATGGCCCCTGCAATACCGTGACTGCTGGACCTGGCTGCTGCTTTAAAAAAAATTGGAAATTACTCCATAAAAGTCGATGTAGTTTCTCACGTTTTTATCTCGTCCTTTCTAGTTCTGGTTAAAGTGTCATATTTAAAGTTAGAATCCAAATGTAAGCTTGAGAGTTAATGGCAGAGAGATAAGGCTAGCTATTATGGAGTCACAGAATGGATTCTGTGAGGGTCAACCCTTTCCTACGTACAGAACTTGGGGCTCGTGACTGGAAGGTTGCTGCAGCTTAACGCAGCAGGAAGTGTTTAACATCAACTCACTCAGAAGACACATCTGCAAGATGAGATGTTATTCAGTAACTTTAGAACTGCAGAAAACAAGCACATAGATTGTGCGGGATTAGATGTTCATTGTCGAGCACAAGCAGTCTGAGCTTTCTGCTGCTTAGAGGGCTGTGGGGAGCAACTGAATGAATCAGGCTTTTTAAGACGCTGCCCTTTGTGCCAATCACCTGTGGCCTTGATCATGTTAATGGAGAAGGTGCCTGGAGCCTGGGCGCGCATGCCCGTTTGTAGACACCTGGACTATGGGTGTGGCCTGAGTAAGTGTGCACATCTGGACCTAAAGCAGTAGCAGCTGTGAACAGAGAAGCAGTGCGAGGCCAGACACCAAGATGATGTGAGATACAATGCCAGAGAAGCCACAGAAAGACTGCAAAAGATTTGTGGAGGGCTGGGAGGCTCAGTTGCCTCCAGATCTCTGGGCCTCTATCTGCCCAGTCTGCTTGCTCAACAAGGTCATTTTATGTTATTTATTTTTGGATTATCAGTTATTCAAGGTTGTTGGTGCAGGACATTGGCAAAGTTATAGCAATGTGTGTAACAATAGCAATGTGGGCTTGGCTGTGGTATTTTTAAGAATGACATTTAACATCGTGTGAAGGAGTAGTTTTTCATCCTTTGACTCTGCGCTTGTCAGCCCAGAATATAGTTGAGAGCAGCGTGGGTGAGCAGAAGTCCACCTCTGAGTTGAGCGGTGTTATGGAATGGTGACTGTACACAATACAGCCAGGGCTGCAGATGACTCTCCTTATCTTTCCTCCACATGTCACCCAGCTCCACCGAAGCAAAGACCTCCTCACACTTTCTCCAGACCTCCACTTCCTGCTTTATCCTCGTGCCCTTCTGTGAGGCGGCCATTCCAGAGCAGGCAGATATACTGTTGATTTGGGCAGCAGGAGAGTCAGTCTTGTTGCCCTCGATAGATTTGACAGGCCTTTCAGTTGGAAGCTGACCAGCAGGCAGGTGGCTGGCATGAAAGAGGCGGTGGCCACCGAGAGCCTCCAGCCCCTGAGATCGCCACAGTCTCTGGCTTCTCTCGGTTCAGTCTTGCAATGATCTTCACCAGGCTTCCAGGCTTAGAGGTACACACACACCATGCCCACGCTTCTTGGCCTGGGTGTCCGCGGTGACAGGTGTGTGTGTGTTCCATGCCTGCACTCCCAAGCGCTTTTTTGCACTAACATGGTACCGCTTGTGGGCAGTGAAACCTGGGGGAAAGCACCTCAGTTGGTGGCTGTAGAGGCTTTCACCCGCTCTTTCACAGGAGGATGCTTGTCTGTGTTCACTCGCAAATTTCCCCTTCCCTTTTCAGGGGGCCAGTGTGGGGAGACGAAGGGATATTCAGGATTTGACGTGGTTGCCTGAAGCCTAGACTCATTCCATCGGGTCAGAGCCGCTCCAGGATCTAGAAGGCTCCTCAGTGGCTGCGGAGCTCCGGCTGCTGCTGGATACGTGGGTGAGTGAGAGCCTTCCTAGTGGACGGCAGTGGTTTCAGTGCTAAACGAGCTAAATGAACACTGTCCCATCAAGAAGCCTTCGGCAGTTTCGGCAGGGCGGCCTTGCTATGACTTGCCTCTGCTGCGTGCTGACGGTGTGCAGAGATTAGTTAACATCCTCTCAGCCTTGTCTCCCCTGTGAAGTACAGACGTCGTGCTGGGTGGCTGCCTGCGAGCTCTGAGTTAGACCAAGTGCATGCTGTCCACCTGCACAGGCCGGGCAGCTGTCTACACGCTGCCCTTTGGACACGGGAATGGCCATTATCTCCTTACATCTGACTTTGATTTCCTTGTAATATTTCATAAATGAGGCACTTTTGTTATTACCTAACCCACTGCTTTTCTTTATAAACGCTCACAGATGTTGGACTGAAGCGTCAAGTCTTTCCCATTACCCTGGAGGAGACAAAGCAAATGCATGGAAGGGGCTGAACCTCTTCCCCTGGTAGAATACACCAGCTTCGGCTGTGTCAACACACATTGCACTGCCTGACCTTGTGTTGGGTGTTTCCTGGTGTTTCAAGGTCGGGGGTGTCACCTATCCTCAGTTGGGGCAGGGACACCCAGCTATGGGAGGGGATGCTGTGTTGTGTCCCAGCAAACGAGACTCCCTGAGACCATCTAGTGAAGTATGGGGGGCCGCTAACTTGGAAATAGGAGTTTCCAATGGACATGTAAGCTTAATGGTAACAAGATGCAAAGTTTTATATTCCATTTTTAAAAAAGCAATAAGCTCATTTTTGTGTAGCTTTGGTATATAGAAATATATGAGTGTGGAAAATACTTGTAATGTATCTTCTTGGGTCATAATTTTGTTTTCATGGCAATGTAACCTAAAAGTGGGGCTAAATAATCGTCACATTATGTAGGTAGAGCTGTGCTTTCATTCACATGATGACCTCGCTCCGTGTCATTGAGGATTTTGGAAACTGTGGCCGTAAATGACATATAACGAAACCAGGGCTCCAAACACCCTTGCATTCAGTGCGGCTTTCTGAGGTTTCTTTTCTGTTTTAAAGATTTATTTATTTATGCAGACAGTTCTGGGGTACAGGCCAGAGGTGCAGGGTGGTGAGAGGATTCACCAGAGACAGAGTGGCGAGCAGATTGACAGAACACTGCTGAGGGGAACAGTGGGGAGACAGGAGAGGTCTGCTGTGCCATGTGGGTCACTTCCTGGGTGGGGATCCAAGATAGCTTGATGGCGCTGAGACTTTAACCCCTTCGCCACCGAAGTGCTGCGCTTTAACCCACTGAGCCACCAGGAAGGGCCCTGAGGTTTCTTTTTTCACAGCACAGTGGCTGAGAGGGCCTGCTATACGTGTAAAGCATTCTCTTAAAAAGCCATCAACAAGATCAAAGTGCTTTTATAAAATAGGCTTTCTTTTTTTGCTGCTAAGCAGTGGCCCTCAGCTGTCCTAACAGACAGGCTTACCTCTGAAGTTGAAGGATGAAGGTTCATCTTGAAACTCTTCTGACACAACCCAAGGTATGTCCCTTGAACCTAGGGTTCTCGGGGGCTTGGGTGTGAAACTCTCCGGGGAGTACAAATCCTTAAGAGGGAAGCTAAGTTGAAAGTCCTGGGTTTGAGGCCTCCTAACGCATGGGTTTATGTGTCTGCACTGAAGCTATTGGCAGCCACTGCAGCTCGAATTCCATCCCGACCCAGGGTGACCCAGAGGGCGCAACAGACCTTTCCTGTCTCACCTGCTCCCCTCAGCAGTATATTTCACTTGATCTGCCTGTTGTGCTCCCCACTCTGTTTCTGGTGAAGCCTCTCACCTTCCACACTTCTGGCCTGTACCCCAGTTAGTGTACGTGTAAATAAATAAATTTTTTTTAAAAAGTCTTGGGTAGGAATCCTGGTGAGTGAGATTCGCAAACTTGTTCTGAAGTCAGCTTCCAGGATTTTCAGCAGTGTCAAAGAAACATCAGCGTAGTTTCTCATGTGGAGGTGAGTGATTATGAAAATAAATCTGGTCTTTAATTTGACCCACATTTTATTAAAGCAGGGAGGAGTCTGTATACATTTTTTGAGAGACCTATGATTTTTGAGTTTTAATCCTGGTAAGCTCTGACAGCTGTGTCACTGTTAAAACTATTTAATATTTTATCTGGCCGTTGTTTAGCATTACAAATGATACAAGGAAAAAGAAACAAGGAGTCAGTGGAAATAAATTACGGGTGTTTACCCTCCCTCTGTTTTCTGTTGTGTGAAAGCCGCTGGTTGGCATTTATATGGTGAAGGGTTTTTCTTAAAGAGTTAATTTTTAGTTAATAGTGAGCTTTCATGAGAAAAATAATTTCACATGCTAAGTATTTGTTCCATGGTTATTAATGGCGGTGCTAGTAATATCACATTGTCTTTTTCACACATGGAAGAGGGTTTCCTGGTGACAGCTGGAGCCCGGGGGAGGGGCGGCTTTCCATCAGCCAGCTGCTCAGCACCATCAGTGATGGTGATATTTCAAAGCCCATGGATAATTTGGGTTGTATTCAGAAAAGAAAATGTATCAGGTTTCTGGGAAGCGGGAGCTTGCGTGCAAGGGCCCTCTGGGAGCTCACGCTAGCCAGCTCAGTGTGTACATTCAGGTCTGCATGTTGCTGTTATTTACCATCTAGTTTCTTGGACATTGTTACATGCACATCATAATTATAAAGCAATAAAGTTGAGTCCATGGGGGGAAAAGCTCATTACTTTATGGAGAGGAAGAGAATGGAAAGCAAACTTTGGGGGTGTGCTACGTGCTTTCACATAATATGCTACTTCATCTCTTCTTCACAATGGCTGGCGGAAATAAGTGGAATTTTATTCATTTGTGGATAAAGAAATAGACTCTCGGCCAGACTGATTATAAGATTTGCCCGAGGCCACCTACGAGGAGCCACGGCATCCATAGTTGACCCCCGGTCTGGCTTCAGCTCCAGGAGTGTTATCATTCCACCAACAGCTGTTTTTCCACAGTGTTAACTTGCCTATGCATTTTTAATCCAAAGTCACAATATCAGGATAATTAGAAATGAAATTTATATACATATTACTATGCTTCGGCTTTATATAAATAATATATAGGCGTATATGTATGTATGTTGGCAGCTAATTCTAATTTTGGATTTTTTTTTCCTTGAGGAAAGTCCTTTGGGCAACACTGTGAAAGAAATTTTGCTACATATTTTATGTTACAAATATTAGCAATTTGCCACTGTGTGTTGTCGTGAATCTGTGGTGATTACAAGTTGAAACATGCAGAAATTCATGTGCTGGCTGAAGTAGTCCCTGCCGCCAGGCTGTAGTATTTCCAAAATACCTCTTTTCTCTCCAACTGTCTTAACCTCATGTTAGTAAGGGATCTTTCGTTTTCTAAGTTTCCATCCTGTAGCTGTTACAACCACAAAGAGATGACTTGAAGCACAGCCTTTTATTTTTGTGAGATTGTTTATAGCTTTTCACTCTCTGGAATTTCATGTCTCTCCCCAGTGCCCACAGGATAATTCCTGCCCCAGTCTTTTTGTTGTTGTTTTCTCTTTTCCGACAATACAAGACATCTTACACAAAGCTTTAAAATTTTTTTTTAAAACATTTTTATGTAGTGAAGTACCATTGTTTTACGTCCTTGTTAATATTTTGACGGCATTTCTCCTACCGGTGTGATTACCACTTTCCCTCCACCAAAGCACTGCGGTCCACTGTGGTCTTCCCCATCCCATCTCATCCTCCCGCCCGGATACCTCAGTACTGTGATTAGCTTTCAACAGTCGGTTTTAAAGTTTGTCTTCGTTTAACCATTCGTTCGGTTTCTCTGTCTTCCTTACGTAAGTCCCATCATCCAGTATTAATCTTTCTCCTTGCAAACTTTGCTTAGCATAATCCCTTCCAGCTCCATCCATGTTGCACACATGGCATGAGTGTAGTATTCCATCATGCCTCTATACCACATCTTCCTGATCCGTTCATCTGGAAAACTTTCAGTCTTCTGCTATTTTCTAAATACTTCCCATACTTTTATATATAGCCCCTTTGCAGACTTTATGACAGAAATGTTGCCTTTTGTGTCTGCTTCTCCCTGGGGTTGCAGAAAGCACAGTGCTTACCACATAGTAGAAACTCAGATATTTATTAAATGAAGAAAGGGAGACAGGTGTAAAATTAGATGCGTAATCCTTATCTTGCTGGAATTTCACATTTATTAGATTTTCTCTGCACATGATTACAAAGATGGGAAGATCTGTGTCTCCTAATAATTCGTGTGGTAAAAAATGTAGGAAAGCTCGTAGGATACTTCACATCCTTTATGAAGGAGATGAGATACAGAACACGTGTTTATTGCTCTTCTTCCTCCTCTCCCCTCCTTTCCCTCTCCTCCTCTCCCTCTTCCCTCCCTGATCTAAATGATTCTTTGTCCTAAAGTTCTAGTGGGTTTTCATCAAGTGATAGCATTTCTCAAATGTCTTTCAATGAAGAACAAAGACACAGAGTACAGTGTCTCAGAGCGCTCTGTTACGGGTGTTATTTATAAACCTGCCTTGTATAGCTAGACTGCTAATCTTAGACCTTTACCCTTTTGTGGTTAATAATCTTCATCTTGTGTCTAGGTGTATGTGCTAAGCATGAGACTTGCTGATTCTCTCTGAAGTTGCCCTCGCACGCTCCCTGAGTCTGTGCACTCTTCTTTAGAACTAGATTCCACAGCAGATTTTTGAGAAACTCCTAAACACCCTCCACAGTTCGATTTTCCTGTGGGCTAAGGGGCTGCACTTTTGGTAGAGCTTGGTAATACTTGATAATACTTGGTAAACAGGATCTGCTTGCTGCCCCTTATAAATGATCCAGTGTTCCAAGTAAGGTACTTTAGCTACAAAAAACAGAAACAGAGTTGAATTCTCCAGATAACTTTTTCAAGACCAAGACAGTTATTAGAAGTATATGTATGAGCTTAGAGAATTGATGGAAAGTCAAACC